GGATAAAGGAGCGTCACTCCGCGGAAGGAAACAGGAGACGACAACACACTATGCGTGTCACACCGCTGCGGCTGACTTTATCTTTAAAATAAGGCACTCGTGGCTGACTGCATGGAAACGGAGATCTGCGTCTCATGATTAACTTCATGAAAAGAAGGGCGCCATAAATCGCCAAATCATGAAAGGATGACCGACATTCCAACAGTTACAAACTTTCCTTTACTCTTCTCAAGGCAATCATAAATCTGATCATCATCAGGACGTTGGATAAAGATCAGATCATGCTGACGGATATTGTATAGAAGCCAGACGAACTCCAAAAAGCGGTAATGGCTATAGAAATAGTCGGTGCCAGATATGGACTGAGAATGAAGCAGCAAAAAGCGAAGACTTTAATTCACTATATGCTGTAGAGGATGACAACAACATTAAGATTTACGGGGGAAATGTGCAGTATGTCAACAAGTTCTGTTATCTTGGACTAATGGCCACCAGCGATGGAAGCTGAGAAAAATATGTTAAAAAATATTAAGAATGCTCGAACTGCGTATAACATGCTGCATAAAATCTGTGAAAACCCGCTGTCAGCAGGTCAGTTAAATTTTGTGTATAACAGTTATCCTACCAGTACTTAAGTATACCACAGCAACGGACCTTAACCAAATTAACTAACGCATTAGACGTGCATGAAAGCTTGTGCTGGAGCAGAACAGTCGGTTGCAAATTAACTGATAAGATGATAAATTTTCAATTACTCGAGGATGCTAGAAAAAGGACAATGTAATGCAATGCACAGGGAATAGTGTCCATTTTCCATTTGACGAAGTAAAGATACTCTCCCTCTTCAGCGACGCATTATGACAAAACGACAAGCGACTGATCATCACCGTGATTCGTAGTGTTTCGAAGCCATGCTGAAAAATGCCGAAAGGTGGGTAAAAAGAAATTCATCGTTGGAGAGTATAAGGGACGAACTGATTACAACGGAGATGGGTCGCACTTATTGACAAACTGCTAACAAAACCTGGCACAAGGACATGCTGCAATTATATTAGAAATTACACAGGATAGGCAGCACTGTTAAATGGTGATAAAAAAAGCAAGAAACATCTAATAAAGCGATTTTAAACTACGTTATAATTGTGCGCCGCATGGCATTAAATAGGTCAGCACCGCCAAAAATAGTACTGGTCTGCTATTAAAGAATTCTACACCTTCATAATGAACAGAGCATGAACTGACGGAGAGAAGTTCCCGCCTAAAATTATGCCTGACCTAGTCGAATTCTCTTACACACTGCTTTCCTAGTCTTTCTAGATTGATACTGGAGAAATGTTTTGAGACTTGTTAGCGGTGTCATCCCATGATAGATGCAGAAATCTGTTGTCCACTCCTTTAAGTATAGGGAGAGTCGCACTGATTGCCATTCTCCCCAGAAACATGAAATGAACATTTGATTAAAGACGGGGTTTTATACAATTCCATTTTCTTGTTGATTAACGAATTCCAAGGGAACTCGACCTACACAGCGGTTTCACTGAATCTTCATATGTTTCAAATGCATGAAGAACATTTTGATGAGGAATTATGGGCCTAAAACTGAAAACTCAAGAAAATTCTAATGTAGCAGATTACTTGGTTTTCTTCTACAGGATACATGGGCATTAGCACTCAGCTTTTGAAAAGGGTCGGGGATGGGGTAAATATGGAGTACAACTATAAGAAATGTTCAACCAGATTTTATGACGATTCTTTTTGAAGTGGTGACTGTTAGTGCCAGAACAGCTGGCATTTGTGCTGACTGTGAGACAGACCTTTAAACACTGATTTTTTCATTTCAAATCAGTGAACCTATACAGGCGCGTGTTACAACAACAAAATTTAAAGCATGTAAAATGCCACCATGTCTCACAGTCAAATTTTCTGACCAATATCGCCATAGTGCATGCACCATATCTCAGCATACATGCTGAACTCATTGAAAATTAAGGTTGACGTATTCAATCATCTTTACTAATAGCAGAAACGAAGAATCCGATCTGTATATCAATTCACGCTAAAAAAATGTTAAGCTGTCATAATAGCACTGGCATATTCTGACTGTTATCTTTTCTGTTTACGTGAAACACTGAAAAACGCAGAGTACACATACGTAACGGACATTAAAGATCTCATCGACGACGCATGACGTGGACACAAGGGAAAATAAATACGATGCTGAGATAGCCGCATGAGTGATCGAAAACTTCACGTTGGGCAAATCCAGGTCATGTGGATATGCCTGAACTGGCGGCCGTAATGGGCCGTCGCAGAGAAGACACGTTTCGCTGCTGCTCAAATCGTCTTTCCATCTCATCCAATAACTTCGGAGAGTACCTGACAACAAGCTTTACAACGCCAACCGCGTTTTTAAGCAGCTCCACGGCTTTTTCATGGCACTCGCCCTCGACGTTGACGCCGTTGACGACAATCAGTTGGTCACCACGTCGAAGGCAGCCATGGCGATCGGCGACACCTCCAGGAATAATACGACTGATAAATATAGGACTGTTTTGCTCCTTTCCACCCATCACATTGAAACCAAGACCTTCGCTGGTTTTCGGTAATTCGATGATTCTTGGGTGTCCATGCCCTTCAGCAGCAGCAAAAACGGCAACTGTAGCCTAATCGAAACAGTAAAGGAATATTACGCAGTGCTCATAAACAGTTCTCTTTATTCATACTTTTTCCTGCATGATTATGGCACTACAAGGCTTTTGTTTCTTGGGATCATCACCTTTATCCATTTGCATAAACAGAACGTCACTGGTTTGTAATGCGTTAAATCCGCAGATATCCAATACTTTTACTGTAAGGCATGGGTTACTGCACTGCAGTATGAAATATTCCTCTCTGAAAGTAGATCTGCCTTTACCTTGTTCCTTCATGTGACATGCTGAATTCCTGGTCGACGTATACCGTGTTTCGGCTACCACATGAGAAGCTCATGGGCTGGCGTAAATGGTTTATGTTCAACCAGTTTGTCTAACAAGGCTAACCGCCTTTTCTTAATCTCCACATCTATCGAGAAAACCTGTGCAAGGAGGAGAAACGTGTCACTCCTACATGGTACTGCGGTTTAGCCATCATTATGCATTGAAACCCATGCTGCTGTACGCTGCTCAACCGTCGCTATTATACTTCCTTAGAAAAACTGTCTCCATGCCGTACAACAATACTGAACTAATGGAGGTAAGATAAAGGCAGATTTCTTGGGAAGAGTAACTCCTCTCGTATCTCAAATACTCGACAAGCTTCCAAAGTACCTAAAGCTATGACGGTCCCTTACTTAACTCTCGCTAGATTGCGTCATTGCTGGAGATAATGGAGCCGAGATAACTGAAATGGTCAACCCTACGAAACGCTTCACCTCCCTCTTTCCACTTGCAAGATGACTATACCAGATGGTTTCCCATAACTATTTACTTCCGGCATTGACGAAGAGGTCGGCTTTCGTAACTATGTTAAAAATGGAAGTAGTCAGAGAACAAAGCCCGCCGCTTCCCGAACTACTTACCAAAATAATATCATTTGCGTACTGCAGGTCAGCAAGATATCAAACAGGGTATCTCGAACTGTCTTATTTCCATAATGAGACCTTCGATTCTGAACCACGCAGACAGATCTCCTTCGATTTTGACAGCACACATGGTAATTCATAGCATTT